GAGCTGCACCGGATCACTTAAAGCGGGCATTTCCATGGCGGCCGCGGGCAAAAAGCGCGCGACACTCTGTTCTTGCAGCGCCCCGTAGCCAGTACCCTGACCCATCTTGGCTCTCCTGATGACGGAACATCCTGCATGACATGTAGAGGCCACCTGAAATCCCAAGCAGTAAGCCCTTCCTCACACAATCACACGCTGGGGAGTGTTCTCCCATGCACAGCCGGCAGCTGCGAACCTATCTGGCTCAGATCACACCCCAAGCCCAAAACCCTTAGCATCCCTGAACCCTATGCATCCCCAAGCCCCTAAAAATGGAACACCAAAAAGCCCTAACCCCAAAACCCCAAACCCTTCAGCCCGACCTAGAACGCGAGGAAACCGAAACTCAGGGCCACAAAGCCGCACCTCAAGACCATGAACCCATAGACCTTCGACACCAGACCGTAAACCTTACTCTCGGCCTCGAGCCCTTGGGGCCTTAGGGCCTTAGGGCCCTGACTCTTGTACCCCATTCCCACCACACCTTAAGCCCTAAAACACCTTAATGCCCAGCAAATTTCAGGGTTTCGGTTTCTAGGGTTTAGGGGTTTCGGTCTCTAAGGTGTGAGGTGGAGGGCTTTGAGGGGTTTACAACTCCAAGGCCTTGCCGAAGCCTCCCATCCCCCATCCTCGGAAGATGCGCATGTGCTCCCTGTGGGGGCGGCCGTCCGTGCCGGCCAGCCTCCTCCACGCGCCTAGGAGGGGGGGGGGCCCTGGAACCCTGAACCCTTCGCCCCCCAGCCCCCCCCCCCAAGTCGGGGTTTGTTCGAAGATGGGGCTTTTGTTCCAGGGTACAAGGGAATTTCCAGGGGCTTCTTCTTCATAAAACTTGTTCGGCGTTCAATAACATGCGTGGGTTCACCCCTTCACCGCAGCATTAACAAGATCATCATTCTAACGAGGCATTCTATTGCCCACTTTGGTACTAATTTGTCTTAGAACTAGATAATGATGAGCGAAGCAAACCCAAGGCAGATGAAAGGATATTCAAAATATTTGAAAACGAGTTCAAGACCAAAAGGAATGATAGATGCTTCGGGCTGGCAACGAACCTGAGAAGCATATAGGTTGCCGTGCGGTTTGAGCCGAATTTCGAAATTCACAAGTTGTTTCTATGAGCACGAAGATAACAGACTCAAGTTCAGTTTCCTTTGAACTCTCGATATCTTGAGGTTACAACCTACTAAATGTTGGTAGCACCTCCAGTCGGGGTCCTATGTCTAACCTCTTCCTGCTCAGTCTCTTCATGTGAATGGTTACTTGCTGTCGGTTCATGGTATAATAATAACATTCATTGCTAGACTGCCCGTTTGCGCGCGGACATGTATACAGTCTGCAGGGGGCTCGGGCGTCAGAGAAGCCACCAGCCGGTGGGCTGTGTGCACCTATTTTGTACTAAGTACTAAGGATCATGATTCTGAGTTAGGGGTGTATTCCTTAATTAAGGGGTCCTAATTTATACTAAGGATGATGATTATGAGTTAGGGGTATATTCCTTACTTTTAAAGAGGTTTTTTTTGGAAGATCTAGGGCACTGCAGAAGAATGCAAGGAGCTCAGGATCCTGGAGCTCAGGGTCCGGGCCAGCCTCGCAGCTGCGGTCCTCAAGGACGCCCCAGCCCCAGGTCCTTCGAGCCCCCCCTTTCGGCGTTCGTTATTATTATTATTATTATTATTATTATTATTATTGTTATTATTATTGTTGTTATTATTATTATTATATTTCTTTTTTTGTCCGGGGGGGGGGGGATGGTTTTGTGACTCTGGCCACATGCGTTTAGGGTCTAGGGTTTAGGGGTCTTGGGTGCCAGGACCTTGGTTCCTCCACTGTGTGCCGGCGCCTCGGGTTCCACTCGTGCCCCCCCCACCCCCCAGAGTGCCGATACTAAGCGCCTCCTAACCCTTTTGGAAAGGATGTCGTTTGGGATGTTCCCCCTTATTCTATATAACAGTCCTTAGTCTGGATTCTAATCGGGGTACTTTAATCCCTATCAAGCACTGTTTCTATAAGGGGTAACATGCCGAGGTGTCGTGGTCGAGGGTTTGAGCTTAAGGCATCAGGGTTCTGGAGCTTTGGGGCTTGCAGCTGTGAACCCCTGAGCCCTGAGCCCCTGAGCCTCTGAACCTTAAACCCTAAACCCCAGAACCCTGCACCCCAAGCCCGGGCTCCCAAAGCCGAGCCGCCGCAGCCCTGAGCAGCCGAGCCCGAAGACCCCCTGAGACCCTTGAAGCCCCTCAAACCCTAAGGCGCGTACTTTTAACTGTGTCTCGTATTCTTACTCTTCCTCTCATTTCTTGTTCTTGTTCTTGTTCTTGCTCTTGTTCTTATTGAACTCCAACGCCTCTTAGCTCCCGAAGATCTGAGGCGGCAGTCTGCGCCTCCAGCGCTTCGCAGCGGCGAGGTGCGGTTTTAGGGTTCCGGGCCTCTGGGATTTGGGGGCTTGGAAGGTTTAGGACGATTGATTCATGGGGGTTTACGATGTTTTGTACTTTTTTTGGGGTCCTTCTTCTAAGGGAATCCGAATATGTGGGGGAGCTCGAACCAACCTGCTTTCTGGATCTCACATCCCGGGATGCTACATGCGTTTCCTGGATTCCAAATGCGCAGCTGATGACGCGCTCTTCGACAGCCGAAAAGAGGCTTCTTTTGGTTCGGGCTTCTTATTCTCTTTCAGTGACCGGGTCATGCTTGCATAACATGTCACATTTTTATGGGTACTTAAACCCGATAAGTTTGAAAATAGGTGAGCTGCTGCTGCCCTTCCCGTGCAGGTGTGCAGCAAGCAGCCTGGCAAAGGACCGAGCCCTTTTTCACACGGGGGTTTCCGAACTGGTACCTATCTTATTGGGGTCCTTATTATAAGGGAATCCTACTATTGGGCTATATAGGGTCCCGTATTTTCGTAAACTCCCGCATCGGTCTCTATAGGGTTCAGAGGGCATGGCAGCGCTTTTGCATGTGCTGGAGCAGGCGCGGCGGCGCCGGGATACCCTTCTTCCAGCGCTCGCCATCCGAGGTGGCTTGGGGTGAAGCCCTACACCTTCGGCGCAGCAGAGAACGGGTTCATTTTTTTTTTTTGGCTCTTGCAGGGCACTTTCCGAAGCCCAGCGCAATCAGCCCTCTGACCCAAAATCCTGTTGGGGATTGTCGCACGTGAATGAATGTCGCATCTTCAAACCAAGCCGTCCAATGTGTAGAACCATTCAGTGCCTTCACGACAGCTTGTTGTGATTTCCCCTGAGACAGCATGAAAGGACGACAGTGCTCGAAGTAGCAACGCTCCAGCTCGCATGTCGTATGTTTGAAAAGCAGCGAACTCGCTTCAGCCGGTCGCTTTACATTTACTTTCGCTGTTGCTCGCATGTATGTGGCAACTTGTAACAATCTGCCTCAATCCTTTTCAAGGGTCTTCTAGAATCGAGGTCGTAGCAGTCCCCGTGCAGCTGAAATTTGAATCATGGAGGGCTTGTCGACTTTTTTTGCCGAGCTGTTGTGGGGGGGGATTTTGGAGTTCAAACCTTGCCCCCGGACCTGTTGAGGTTTGAGGGCTCTGTGCGCCGGGCCCATTCGAGCCCCAAAACCGTAAAAGCGCGTGAACGCGCCAGGCGCCCGCTCCGGAGCGCTCCGAGGAGGAGGGGCTTCGGGGTGGCGGGCCTATAAGAGGCTTGAAAGTTTCGAGGCTGCAGGGGCTTGCAACAGGAGGTTCAAGGAGGCTTTATAGGCGGAGTCGGGTTCATGGGCCTTGGGGGTTTAAGGGTTTACGGAAGGTTTAAGGGTTTACGGAATCAAGGGCTTAAGAGTCTAGAGCCTTCTGGGTTTAGGGTTTCGGCTCCAGGGGTCGAGCGTGGCTTTGGGCCCGCCGACATCTCACATGCCAAACCGCAAAAACTGCCCAAAACCCCGGACATACAAACCACGCCAAACCCTAAGTCCCCTGAATTCTAAAGCCACAGAAGCCAAAGCTTCAGAGTCCGAGCCTTCAGGTTGAGCAGGGAAGGCTGAAGGCAGCATGTCAAAAAAGCACGGATCTGGTCCATTTGCTTCAGCGTGGCGTGGGTCGGTCCTTGAAGGGGTAAAAAGAGATTTGGAAGGTTTGGGGTTCTGCTCGGTGGGGGTTGGTTATGAAGCACTAACAGAGAAATTGTTTTCAACCACAGATAAGGAGATGGTCGGGCAGGCAGGTTGTGCCAAACATGACGGGCACCAGGTACCCCTCCCTAGACGGCAAGTGTGTGCGGTGTTGTACCTCTGTTCCTAAACCCCAAACCCGTACGCTGCATCGCCAAGCCTCAAACCTTTGTTCCAGGCGCAGTGGGAGTTGTCGGTCCGCCTGGATGCGCTGAGACTGATGCGCTGCTGGCTCGCTTCTACAAGGGCCGCTGCCTTCAGGGTTTGCTGGTTGCGTTTAGAGGTGTAGAGGTTTAGGGTTGAGGGGTTCAGAAAAGCGGTGTGGTATTGTAAGGTGCCCCATGCCCGAATTCCCTAGCAGAGTCTTGGAGGGTGCAGGGCCATGTCGTCGTAAAAGAAAGCCAGGCAGCAGATGCACCTTCCGCCGCTGCCGCCAAGCCCGAATCCCAGATCGGCAGCATGCTCAGCAGACGTGTGCACCACCGTACGTGGCGTCGAACATGTCGCCCTCAACTTCCTTTTTTTTGAGCCCCTCAGTGTGCGGCGTTGGCACTTGCAGCTGGCTCTTGGAGCGCCCACTGCCATCCCACAAAGGGGGGGTGGGGGTGTGGGGTAATCTTGAAAATCTGGGCCCTTTTGCTGGCACCCGAAACTTTCAGAAATCTACTGTAAGACAGCTTTGTTAACCCCTGCATATCAGTTCCCTAAACCTGGAGTGCTCAACCCCCTGAACCCTAAAACCTGGACGTGAGGCCCCTTCTTGCAGGGGCTGACAGCGGCTGCTGCAAGCTGTGCTGAGTTTCAGACGGAGGCTTCCCGATAGCAGGGGAAACCCTGAGCATGTAGACACATAAACACATAAAACCCTGAACTTAACCCCTGAACCACTAAGCCTCTAACCCTCTCCATCTCCTTTCTCTCCCACTTCTTTGGCGCCCCCAAAGGCAACCCTGAGCCCCAAAAGCCTGAAGTTCCGAAGCTTGGAGGTCCTGAATTCCCCGAAGCCTAAATGCCAGAGCCTTAAATCCTACATACCCGGAGCCCAAAAGGCCCCTGGAAGTGTCTCTCCGAAGAATCTAAGCCAGGCCTGGACTACATCTCCTTCACCCGAACCCCAGAACCCCAAACCCTTTAGGGAAGCTTTCCTGGAAAGGACATGGAGGGACACTGCGCCCCTGAGCAGCTGGAGGCGCTCAGACGGGCTTCAAGAGGCGGTTCTTCTAAATTGTGGGCCACACCTGTTCGCACTCTCTTTCCCTCTGTCTCTCTCTCTCTCTCTCTTGTCTCTCTTGTCTCTCTTGTATCTCTTTCTTTCTCTCTTTCTTACTCCTCTCTCAGCAGCAATTCGGCCCTCACAACTCCTAAAGCCCAACGCCGATCTGCATGCTGGTCCCTACAGAATCACTAGAACTATGTCTCTCCATTCCACAGGCCCTGGCTCTCACCCAAAGGTCTACCTAAACCCTTAACCCCCAAAACCCCAAATCCCCATCAGCCCCCCAAAGAGCCCGATATTGCTTAATTAAGCAATATTCCTTAAATCATATTAAGGATCCCTACTATGATTTAAGGTATATTCCTTAGTTAAGCAATATTGGGCTCTCTGGCCCCTGGGCAGTTCTTACGGGGCTTCGTGGCTCGTCGCTTCGGCGGCTCGCGTCAAGCCGTGGGCGGCCTCAAGATTTGCCAGATAGGCGGGGGCCTGGGGGGCTGCGGAAACCCTCGGCACGAAGCCGTGCAACAGCGGCCTTAAATCAGTTACCAGCATGATCCGCGCACAGCCCCTCATAGATAGGGCCCAAACTTTACCCAGTTCTAACAACCCTGGATGGGGGTTTTTGCCTGGGGCTTCGGGCTTCGGAGGTGGAGTAGAGAAGAAGGGCTCAAGGAGAACCAGAAGGGATGTGATATAGGTGTCTACTAATTTGGAACGTGTTGTGTGTGTGTGTAACCTGCTGTACATGCAGGATTGGGGTCACGCCCGTTTTTCGATTTCATGCAGGGGGTCCCAAATCTGCTACTCATGCTGGGACCAACGAAGACCATGAGTAGCAGATGTGCAAACGTGCCTGCTATGAGGAGTACCTGAGTGGTTGCGTCCGCAGCTGGTATCCTGAACAGGGACAGAAACCTCATCCCCGCAACGTGTTACATGCTGTCGTCAGCATGGCACTTCGCAGACGACAACATATGCCATTCCTGGTGTCTGGCACGACGACGACACAAGGGACAGAACCCGCATCCCAACGATCATTCCGGTGGTCTGATCTGGGGCCTGAAACCTAGCCCAAACAATGACGACGATAGTCACTGACTATGCTTGATGTTGTCCAGTCGAATGTCCGTCTCATCAGTTCCAGACAAGTCAACGTGTGTGTGGTTCTGGCGTGTTGTCCCGTCACGGGGCCAGATCCCAGAAGACCCGGGCATCCGGGATTGACTGAGCTCGGCTGACTGAGATACTCATTCATCATCTGCAGTAGGCTTTGTGGCATGAGTGAGTGCGAGCACAGACATGTCATCGGGATCATCCAACTTGCAGACGCAGGGGTGCCCGGACGGCACCGCTTTGTGGTTTTTGTAATGCGCCGCCAGCTGTGAACAGGTAGCTTGACCCAGGCTGCATCCGGTACAGACACATGTCCTCCCCGCTAATGTTGGTAAAGTGGTGTTGTCCTCCCTCTTGTTGTTGTTGGTGAACTTCCTCTGCACTTCCTGTCGTTGCTGTTCATGTGCATGAGTTAGCATGTCTCTTCTGCTAATGTTGGTAAAGTGTTGCTGAACTCCCTCTGGTTGTGGTGATGATCTACCTCGCCCGTTCTCCGCTTCAAGATGTCTGACCTGTCTTTGTCCCGTCCGCCCTTTGGGGGCATGTGTGTGTGTGTAACCTGCTGTACATGCAGGATTGGGGTCACGCCCGTTTTTCGATTTCATGCAGGGGGTCCCAGATCTGCTACCCATGCTGGGACCAACGAAGACCATGAGTAGCAGATGTGCAAACGTACCTGCTATGAGGAGTACCTGAGTGGTTGCGTCCGCAGCTGGTATCCTCAACGGGGACAGAAACCTCATCCCCGCAACGTGTTACATGCTGTCGTCAGCATGGCACTTCGCAGACGACAACATATGCCATTCCTGGTGTCTGGCACGACGACGACACAAGTGACAGAACCCGCATCCCAACGATCATTCCTGTGATCTGATCTGGGGCCTGAAACCTGGCCCAAACAATGACGACGATAGTCACTGACTATGCTTGATGTTGTCCAGTCGAATGTCCGTCTCACTTCCAGACAAGTCAACGTGTGTGTGTGTGTGTGGATGAACCTCTGTGTGTGTGTGTGTCGTAGGTAGTAACTACCTGGTAGTTTTTTTTTATACATTGTCGATACTTCTACAGGTGTAATAAGGGGATAGCATGCGTAAGTTGTTTAGGCTCCCGCTAGTACCTGGAAAGAACGCGGCGTTGTTTTTGCTTGTTTTCGACCTTCGGCCCGAGGCTCTCCACTCCTGAGGTGCAAAGCCATGGGGTTGTCGTAAATGGCGGGCTTTTGTTGAGGGGGGGGGGGTGGGTGTCCTGTTTTGAAGAGTCTCGTCAAAACTGGGACCTTGATTCAAGGCGACTCGCCGACATTTTGTGAGCGAATGCCGCAGTCACCCAAGTTGCGAGTGGATTGGAGGTCCAGATGTGGCACCTGCTCCATCTTTCGCACCCACCCACGCCTACTTTGAGGTTCATGCGCACTTATAAGTAGGTTTATAAGTAGGGTAACTTTGGTAAGTAGGCACTTAATCATAACCCTACCTACAAGTGCCCATGACCCTCCAAGTGCCCTTTTGTTAAGCGCGGCGTGAGCGGTGCGTGAACGATGCCTGCCGATTCAATCCGTCTAATGAGATCAGCGTCTGCATTGCGGCGTTTTTGTTCGCATGTTTGGTAATCCCGAAATGAGCGAACATGTCAGCTCCCTTCGAGAAGCAGTGAATGAAATGGGAAAGTGAAGCCTGAACCCAAAGACACGGTAATAACTAGATTCATTAGGCCCTAGACCCTTAAAACCTAAAAGCAACCTGTGAATTTTCAGGGTTCAATGCCGGGCACAGTGCCGTCGCGCTCCTGGACCAGGCCTTCCGCCGATTCCTCCCAGGTTTCTCAAAGAGCAAGTCTTTGTTGGGGCATAAGGCTTTTGTGCAGGATGCCCTACGCGGCGGTAGACGTCACTCCATGACTGTCTACATTACCAAGCCCAAAGCACTTGACACCTCCGCTTGCACCCCGATGAGCGCGCAGGCACCCGAAGGCAGCGTGCTGCTGTCCCTGGACTTGTGCCGACATGCGTGCCCCTGACTCCGGGCTTGGAGTTGAGGCTTTCGGAAAAGAGGGCTTAGTGCGCATCGCATTTGCTTCGCTGTGCCATGTGCAGCCGGATGCACATGGCCTGAAACCCTAAACCTCTGAAACGCCCACCTGAAATCCTTGGGAGGTACACGCGCCCGCTGGAGAAGTTCGTGGCAAAGACTGCGCAGGACCCGTGACAGAGCTGAAGACACTTTCACAGGTGTGGGGGTTTTGGGCTTGGCTGCCTTAAACCGACCCTAAACCCTAAGCCCAGAGTCCTAAACCCCACAACCCTGAACCCTAAACCCTAAACCCCAAACCCTAAACCCTAAACCTTAAACCCTAAACCCCAAACCCCAAATCCCCAACCCTGAACTGGTTGGTATAGCATCCCCTCGAGGACCGCGGGCAGACGCACATCCTTCTCGAGGGCGACTCGAAGGAGATGCTGCCGCGGAGCGGGGCCCAGGGACTTCGTTGTTCAAGGTTTCGGGTTCAGGGTTTAGGGTTTAGGGTTTAGGGTTGAGGGTTTAGGGTTGAGGGGGCTTGAGAGCTTAGGCAGCGTGGCGTGAGTTTAGGGTTCAGGGTTTCAATCGTCAGAGTTCAGGGTTCAGGGTTTAGGGTCCTGGGTTTGGGATTTCTCGTGTTTAGAGGGCTTTCAGGGTTGATTCCTATGTGCTTTAGCAGGGTCCAGGGTTTTGGGGTTTAGCGTTCTTTTGAGTCCTGCAGCCTTCGGTAAGTTTGGCCGCACTATGAAAGCCCTGGAGTGTGGGTAGAAGTCTGGATGAAAGATGAAGGTTTGGTCTGACGGTTTCAGAAAACAGGCAAAATCAGGGAAGACGGGGCATTGAGTCTTCGGAGCCACATTACACTGGGAAGCCCAAATGGGGCCGTACCTGAGCCCTTTCAGCCAAGGTTTCGCCACATCGAGTTCGACTTGATGTTCATTGACGGCAACCATGCATACGAGGCATGTCCTGACCCTGAACCCCAAACCCGAAACCTTGAACCCTAAGCCCGAAACCTTGAACCCTGAACCCGAAACCCTGAACCCTAAACCCGAAACCCTGAACCCCTCAACGCTTATGCAGCAAGATGTAGGCACAACCCAGGTCAGAGACTCAGGGGCCGCCGAGGCCTACCCTTGTCGACTAGTCATGACGTAAGAGACCTCGGAGATCGCAGTCCATTGGGCTTATCGCTTAGGGGTTCGAACCTTTTTCGCCACCAGTTGGGATCTCGCCAGTGTGTGCTCCACTGTCACCCAAGTTGCGAGGCGCAGTCAGAGATGCGGAAATATCGATCCTTATGTCATGTGGTTTCGAAATCCCACCTTCACGGGGTTTAGGGTTCTGCGGCTTCGGGTCACTTCGCCCTCAGCCTTCAAGGGTCTGAGCGCTCTAAGCATCACAGCCTGAACCCCCAGCGCCTCAAGAACCCGCAAGAATGAAGCCCACACCTAACACCTCAATGGAAAGCCTTCAAAAGCGCCGTATTCTCCGAACAGAAGCCGGCAGAACGCCACTAAGAACTCTAAGAACCCTAAGAACCCTGAATGCCCAGCAAAGCGGAAGAGGCGGTCAAGCTGGACATGCTGCTTTGCCTCCAGATGGCTCTGCCGGAGCGCGACAGGGGGCGAGAACGCAGGGTGTAGGCCCAGAACTTCAGGTTTGAGGGCTTAGGGTTGAGGGTTCAGGGTTGAGGGTTTGGGGTGCAGGGAAGCTCTTACTGAGGTTCGGGGTCGGGAGCTGCAGGAACCATCCGCGCGAATGCTTGTGGCGGGTTGGATTGGAGCCAAACATGGCCTTGGACAGAGCTGAACCTGCACAGCTCGGACTCGCTTCACTAACCCCATTCCCCACCAATCTGATTCCCAGCTGAACCCTTGCAGGCCTCCCAAAATTGGGTTTAGGGTTGAGATACCTCAAAGATGAGGACAGCGATACGGCGATAGGGCATGGTTGCTCAGTCCGCTACAACGTGGACCAAATTCTACCACCGGGCTGTCACCATTCGGCATCACGGCAAGCGCCTTGAGCAGGCTGCAGTCCAGGAAGCCCAGGTCACTTGGGCAAGTTGGACCAGCCTGCACCTGTTGAGGGTGAATGTGAGCACGGCGAGCACGGACGATGAGCAGGGGGGGAGAGCTTCGTTGGACCTCATCATCGTTGGTGCTGAGATGGCATGGGCTCTTGAGAGCAGCTGAAGAGCTTACATGCTTTGGTGGTCAAGAGATACTCAAACTGGAGAGAGATTTACATGCTTGAGCCCGAGGTACTTTAGGGAAACCCTTCCAAAGTGGGCATGCCTCACATACCAGGAGCTCAACAAAGAAAACAAAACATTTTCACAACTTTATGGACAGCTAGGCCTGGGGGGTTCCACATGTGCCTTCATTTGGCATCTTCAATACCAAATCTTCTCCACCCACTGCAAATAAAAAGATAAATCCAATAGCGAATAAGTTTCGAAAGAACTTCGACCACCCCACATAGTAGCAATCCAACTAAATACTTTAATACCTGTTGGAACAGCAATAATCATAGTAGCAGCAGTAAAATAATCTCTAGTATCTGCATCCATACCTACGGTATACATGGCACGACGAAACCCCAAATCCTAAACCTTTTCTTGAGCACGGCAGCGCAACTCGACTTGCTAGAACCTGCCCAAAGGAGTCCGTGGTGCTGCTCAACCACGTGTTCACAGATATGGACGAGGCGGCATGGATCCCTCTCGCACCTATGCGATCTTCCCGAAGAAGCCCCCAAAGCCTTACAGCTTTAGCTTTGAAGTCAAAATTCCCAATCTCTCCCAAATCCCTAGAGCCCGAAGCCCTCACAACCAAATCCATAAAGCCCGAAGCCCTAAACCCTGAACAAACTCAGAAAACCCACAGTCGCCAGCAAGCCCGGATGAAAGTTCGAAAGCCGAACCCTTAACCCCTAAACCCTATCCCCCTAAACGGTCAGGGTTTTAAACCCTAAGCCTGTAAACCCTGGCAGGGTCTCGGCCCCACGAGAGTCTGGTTGGAGACGCTGAAAGACGGTGGCCCATTCGCGCTTGAGACCCGAACCCTAGAGCCCCCAGCTTGGATTGTGGGGGCTCTGGCGTTTTTAGTTTGTTGTTGACGAGCTTTTAGAAGAATCTTTGGGTTTTGGCCTTAGATTTCCCGAATCCTGCCCTAAACCTCAGTTTCCTGGTGGGGATCGAGTTAGCCTTGCTTAGGGGGGGATGAACAGGTTTTGGGTTCGGGATCCAGCTTTTCGATTGACGTGATCTTGTAGTCTCAGGGTTGAGGGTTCAGGATTCTTCCAGAAGGTAGCGCTTGGGGGCTGCTCCAAAATGTTGGGCCTTCTTTTGGCATCCTCAGCTTGCGGAACATGACATATTGGAGATCGCCAGAGGGGCCCATAACTTGGATCGACCCTGCAGTTGAAATCGTAGATCCCGGACTTTTGCAGCCCTTGGAATGTGCCCTCCCACAAGGGCTTTCTGTGCCTTCAGAGGGATCAATTGGGGATGTCAGGGAGGCTGAAGATGCCTGCCAGGCGATGCCGAACAAGCTGGCTGGCACTCTTGCTGCTCCCGCCACGGCATCGCCATCGCGCACCCCGCGAAAAAAACAACCTTCGTCAGCCTGGGACTGAATGCTACAGTATGCTGCTGATTACGGGGCCTCTGTGGCATGACTGGCAGCTGTGTAACAAGCATATCGGCAGATTGATCCGGAGCCCTGTTTCCGCAACCGTCTTGGCAAGCTTCAGCATGTGTTTCAAGCAAGGTCTTCCGTTAGTAAACCCTTCACCCTACACCCTGAGACCCAGAGTCGGCACCCTACCTGAACTAGTGCGCTCAGTTGACTCAACCCTATGGATGCGCGAGTTTTTGGAGTGGCATGCTTGCCCTCAACCCCAGACCCTAACACAGCCCGAAGTCCTTAAGATAGGGGTCGGAAGAATTACTAACAATATTCCCTTAGGGTCCCTATATAAATATACCATAACAAACCCCCCCCCCAAAAAAAAAAGACAAAAAAAACCTATTCTGATTACTAAGGCCCCTATAGTACACGCCTGACACAACACACCTTCGGTGCCTTCCATGGCGGCCGTGCTGCCATCGGTGGCCCTGCAGGTGCAGGCGGAGGCACCCCATCAGATCCCCGACTCTTCAAGCCCAAATGGGGGGCGTTTCCCCAAAAGAGGGGTACCCCCGAATATACCCCCAAACACTATAATCCTTATGAAAGGAACCCCCAAAAGGGTACCCCTATTTTCGGAAACCCCCCAAGATGCGCCCTAAACCCTAACCCCTTCCTCAAAAGTGCCGACTTCCAATGCGCAAGGTACCGGCGCTCACTCGTCGGCGTGCCCCCGGGCCGGGTACGGATGGACATTTGGCCTCCAAGAAGGAAGGGGGCCCCAGCTTCAGAAGTTTTCAGGTTTAGGGTCTAGTGTTTCGGGTCTTGCGAGACGAAACTCCTTTCGAGGGTCAGGGCTTCTTTCTTGGGGTCCCACAACACCCTGAACCCAACAGTCTCAAAGCTCTACAAGGGGCTTGCTGTTTTGGGGTTACAGGGATTCGTGATTTACATGAGGTTTAGGCTTAAACCCTAAACCCTAAACCCTACACCCTACACCCTACACCCTACACCCTACACCCTACACCCTAAACCCTAAACCCTAAACCATCAACCACGGGAGGCGGTGCTGCTGCCCAGCGCTGCGGCCGGCTGTAGTCTGGGTCTCAGGTTTTTTGTTTGTCGGCCTCTGAGGGCTCCCAGGAGGGCTTGGGCTCAGGGGAGTTTAGGGTGGTGTAGGGTTTAGGGGTTTAGGGTGTAGGGTTTCGGGATTTTAGGGATGGGTTTAGGACTTTAGGATTTTCGGGGTTAAGGGCTTTGGGTTCAAGGAGTGTCGGGTAGGGAGTTCAGGTTAGTTTAGGCTTCTGAGAAGTACGTTCCTTGTTGTTTCGCGGGTAGCAAAGCGAACCCGAGGGCTTGGGTCATTTGGGGCACTACAGTAAAAACGTTGTATAAGAAAACGGTGTGCCGGCACTAGGGTACCCTAAGTTTCTAAATTTCCATTCTCCTATGTAGCCAGGGGGATTTGAACTAGGGTAGTCTTGGTTTCTTAATTCGTTTCTTAAGGGAGTACGCTATACCACTAGACCAAACCCATGTTCCAGGTACAGTGGGGGGGGTTCTGGGCTTCAGAAGCTGCTCCGCGGGATCCGCGTTTTTGGGGCAGGGTCAGGCCAGAGGCGCGGGGGAGTCACGTTTTAGAGCTTTTCAGGGCTGAAAACCTCTAGAATGTGACTCCCGCGCGTGTTGGGGCAGGGTCAGGCCAGAGGCGCGGGGGAGTCACGTTTTAGAGCTTTTCAGGGCTGAAAACCTCTAGAATGTGACTCCCGCGCGTTTTGGGGCAGGGTCAGGCCAGAGGCGCGGGGGAGTCACGTTTTAGAGCTTTTCAGGGCTGAAAACCTCTAGAATGTGACTCCCGCGCGTTTTGGGGCAGGGTCAGGCCAGAGGCGCGGGGGAGTCACGTTTTAGAGCTTTTCAGGGCTGAAAACCTCTAGAATGTGACTCCCGCGCGTTTTGGGGCAGGGTCAAGCCAGAGGCGCGGGGGAGTCACGCTTTAGAGCTTTTCAGGGCTGAGAACCTCTAGAATGTGACTCCCGCGCGTTTTTGGGGTAGGGCCAGCGTTTTAGAGCTCTAGAATGTGACTTCTGGCCAGAGGCGCAGGGGAGTCACGACTTGCAGCATTGGACTGGGCCCCAATATTACCGAATTGGAGAGCTTTGTAGACACTATTTTAAGAAAGTAGCGCCCCCAACACTAGGGTACCCTAGGTTTCTTAGCGAAAAGGCAACCGCAAATCGCCCAAAATCCCTGGATCTAGGGTCTTAGTTTCTTATACAATGGTTTCGTATACAGTGGTTTTACTGTAGGCCACCTCTTTGTGACGCAGGGCTTTGTGAAGCATCACTGAGGACCCCCCCGGGCCCCTGATAGCTTCGTCTTGTGGCCTCGAGGCCTTTCGCTGTTAGCGCGAAGGCGCTCGGGCAGGCAGGGCCCATGGCTGTCATGCGACAAGTGACGCGTGCAGAGCTTTGTGTCGAAATGATTGGTCAGCAGTAGAAGTCTCCAAACTCCGTCACCAGCAACAGGAGCTTCTCAACTAGGGCTACTCCTACGTGCCTGAGCACTTGAGGTGCTCACGTGCATCCGTGTTGCTTGCCCAGCGGCGGCAGCTAGCAGGGGATGAGGCTGGCCTGGTACTCACTGGGAAGCTGTGGCTCCAATTTTTGGATTGACCTCTGAATGGTTTTGGAGTTCCGCCAAGGAGTCGGAGTTGTTCACTTGCACGATGCCTTGCCTGGGTTCTTTAGTGGGTTGGGATGTTCATGAAGAAAGGTGCTTTCGTCAAGAAGTTGCTAGCCTTGGTTCTTGTGAGCTAGCAATGGGGAGCAGACAGCTATTCATCAGCACGCCAATCTGAGAAAGTAGGTACATCGACCCCCGACACCTTGCACCTCTAACACCGGAACCCTGACCCCCATGGCGAGTATAGGGCTCGGGGAGGCAGCCGAGGAAGATCAAGGAACATTGGGTTGCAGTACCTCCCGTAGATTCCCCCCTTCCCTCAAGCACGCAGCCTAAATCCTCCTAAACCACAAGCCGTCCCTAAGTCACGAATCTTTCATACCCTTAAGCCACTAAACCCCTTGAACCCGCTACGCTCCCAACACCCTAAAACCCACCAGCGCCTCTAACAAGAAGGCAGATGGCGCATATTTCAAGCCCCTGGTCGATGGCGACGTGCTGACCGCTTCGAATCCGCAGCGTCTGGTGGTCGCCGTTATGGTAGCGCCTGGGTTACGGTTCAGAGTACAGGGTTTAGGGCCGAGGGCTTGCAAGACGCAAGGATTGGAGTCCTAAACCCCTAAACAACCCTTTTTAGTCCCGAGTTCAGATCCCTACAACTTCTCCTTCCTCCCCTCCCCTGCCCCCTAACCAGAGAGGCTCTGCTATTCAAAACCCTGTACTGTAGGCTCTACAAGCCCCCTGCAGGCCCGATAACCCCAAAGCCGCCCCAAAAACCCAGCCTCTGAACCCTAAAAACCCTAAAAACCCTTAAAACCCCAAAGCCCCCAAAAAACCCTAAGAACCCTAAGCACCCCAAAAACCCCAAGAACCCTAAAAGGAGCCATCGGAAAGCCCCCATAGGCCCTGTTCCGAGGTGCTGCTGCTCCTCGGTCTGCTGCGCGTGTGGGCGCTCCTGGGTTCTCTGAGCTGGCAGGCCTGGGCTTTTTGTCGGGTTCTTGGTTTAGGGTTTAGGGTTTAGGGTTTCGGGTTTAGGGTTTAGGGATGCTTAGGGTTTAGGGCTTAGGGCTCCGGGCTTAGGGTTCAGTGTTTAGGGTGTTTAGGGCTTTGGGCGCAGGATTTTGTCGGATTCCGTGGGCTTGTTGAAGCTTCGGCTTTCCGCTGGGCTTGCTGAGGGGGCTTAGGGGCCTCGGGGGCCCTGAGCACTTTTGGCTGTCCAGGGTTTAGGGCTCGGGATGAACCCCGCAAACACCCAAAACCCCAAACCCCAAACCCCTACAAACCCCTAACCCTAAACCCTATATAAACCCTAAACCCGAAACCCTACACCCAAAACCCTACAAGCCCCCCCCGCAAGCCCCTCGCAGACCTCCGTCTGCTGCCTCTTGGCCGTCGTGCTGGGCGTGGAGTTCGCCGACTTCGGCACGGGCGTCTACCACTTCTCGGCTCCTGAGACTTTTGGGGCTCTCTTGGGGCTGGTTAAGGGCCTTGTTTTGGGGTTTTTTAAAGGGCATTTCGGGCTTCTTGAGGGCTTTTCGGGCTTTTAGGGTTTTTCGGGTTTGTTTTGGGCGTTTAGGGTTTTTTAGGGTTCCCGGCGCTCGCGGTTCAAAGTTCAGGAGATGTGAGTTCAGGGTGCGAGAGGGATTGAGGGTGGATTGTTTCGGGGTTGGAGTTATCAGTTGAAGTTGAGAGGTCCAACTTGCCACCGAGGTTGACAACTACGGATCTGCGCAGACACCCATTGTCGGATCGCAGATAGAGGCCTTCCAAGGCCGGATCGGTTGTCTGTCTTAAAACCCAAGACTTCAAGGGTTTCGGTTAAGGGGTTGAGCGCCTACGGCCGAGGGTTGACGCAGTGTCAGCGCAATCAGCTGTGGATTTGCATGGGCGTTGAGATGAGCTGTCCTGTGGCCTCTTGCTCGGAAATTCTTGGCAGGCATTTGCGCCAAGCAGTTTAGACCGGGTAGGACTGGGGCTTCCAGTGCGTCAAAAGATGAACCGGCTAGGCATTGCGATGTTATTGATTTTCCCTTATTGGGTGCAAGAGGATTATTTTCAGAGGTTTTGCAGGGCCGACCTAGTCAAGCTCCCAGGCCACCATGAGGAGCCGTGGACCATCACCTACAGAGACTTCTGCGCGGCGCCCAGAACATCGTCAGCGTTCTCCTCAAAATTAAGGCAAGCACCCTGAAGAAATTCGTGTGATCCTAGCTGTAGACACGCTCCCCTATATGATGTCCACAGCTCCATTTGTTTGTATTGTAGTCACGCTCCCCTATACGATGTCCACAGCTCCATTTGTTTGTGCTTTGGTTCTGAAATTGTTATTCTGGGTTCCATGCGGGTTGCAAAGAAATGCTTTCGTAGGGTTCTGGTGGCACTCGGCCTGTTTTGAGCTGATCGGTGTCGAGTTCGCTCCACTCGGCACTGATTATGTATCTATGCATAGTATTAAGATTCTTTCTAAACCGGTTGCACCTCCTCGCATGATGTCATCGGTCCGTGTGCGATGGGAGCATGTCCAAACCATTGCGAGCAGCTTTGCTTCGTTTCGCTGTGCACGAGCTCGATGTCAGAAAAAACTCCGGCTGGTCGAGGCCTTCAGAACCAGGCTTCCCAAGCCTCGAGGCCTGAACCCAAACCAGCTGCGAATTCGGCCTTTGGGGGTCCCTTCTTGGGGACGGCAGGGGAAGCCCAAAATCCTAACCTCCAAGACCCAGTCTCTTCGAAGCCTCTCGCCACATGAGCCAGGTAACAACTGCTTCCCGACCTGCTTCTGGGCTAAAGTCGGCAACAACTTTAGGGGTCTTGAATTGCTTTGCCCTCCTTTCCTTAAACCCCTAAAGTCATCCCTTCGGTTGCTTGGCTTAGCTGGTTCCACCCTGAAAAGTTGTGCTGTATACTATGAGCTCACATCCTCAACCCTGACCCCCCTGAACTCCAAGCCCCAAACCTTACACCCCGGCGGATGCCAGACGCACCACCCCAAATGACACCCACACTCACGGTTTAGGGTGTAGGGCTTCAGCTCACACATCATTTAAACCAACCCAGCCTCCTCCCCCTTCCAAAAATATCCTTGAAAACATGTGCGATGAGGCCTGGCAACAATGCCCTTCTTGATCGCCTTCGAGGTATTCTGCAGCCAGCCGTATGTTCTGCTCTGGGCACCCTGCCTTGCTGTTCTCTTTTGCCTTTGGTGATTTTTGTTGGGGTTTAGGGTTTAGGGTTTGGGGTTTGGGGTTTAGGGTTTAGGGTTTCAGGGTTTCAGGGTTCAGAGCCGATCCCTAAGCCCTGAGATTTGCAACCTCAGCAGCCAAGGCTCTCATCGCCTGCGCAGGCATCGGCTTCTGCCAGGAGCCGAGGCCTCAGAAGCAGGGTCATCAGCAGGGTTTCGGTTCAGGAGCCCTCAGCCCTAAGCCCTAAGCCCCAAACCCCAAACCCTAAAGCCTAAACCCTAAACCCTAAACCCTAAACCCTAAACCCTAAACCCTAAACCCTAAACCCTAAACCCTAAACCCTAAACTTACCTCGTCAAGTGTTCAGGGTTGCTGGTTTGGGCTCGGGGCTTCGATGCAAGGAAGTCAGGCGGTGAGTCAGCCCTCGCCCACTGGAAGCGGTCTAATGGGCTTTAGGGCTTGAGGGTAGGGTTGGCTAACCATAAACCCTAAACCCTAAACCCTAAACCCTAAACCCTCAACCCTCAACCTTCAACCCTAGGCCAGGGAAGCCACAGCTGCATCATGGGCCCTTTTCATTCACCCGCCCCCACGAAGGTTTCACAAGTGGAGCCACACGCTGCGCTCCCAATGCCACCCAGTGGTGAACTGGCTACAGGACGACCCTTGGCCAGCTTTGACTTTCCTACGCGTTGGACAGTCTCGAAATGTCTCGAACTTCATGCGGTTCTCTTTTTTTCTCAGGTTCCGTGTTGGGGTGTCTTGTTGAAAGGACACGCGCACAGTGTGCTTCGAGGTTTTCAGGGTCGGGCTCAATTTGGTTAAAAGGGTCGTGTGTTTGTAATTTAAAGCCACTCGGCCCCCAGGCTCTGGATTTCCAAGAATCGCTTTCTGTAACAAGCCAAAGTGCTCTATGTTAGGGTCCGTTTTTGGGTCGCCTATATAGTACGACACCCTTAAAAATAAGGACCCCCCTTTTTTGCGAACCACGCAAGTGAACAAAGCTTGTTCCAATTAGTCCAGCGCGCCTGGAGCCTTGCAAACCTTCAATTCAGTGACCGTGATCCCTTTTACGGCCTTCTCGGGGGGGGAAGGGCAACACATCAAATAAGCGGACGCAGCAGGCATGATTTTTTCGGCTCTGTTGGCCTTGAGGGCCTTCGGTTTCCAGGTTTGCCTCTGGGTTTCGACGGGTTGGGGGGGACCCCAAAGAATCCTAAGCCTAAACTCCTAAACCCCAAGTCCTCAAAGTCCTTGATAAGGGTCCTGACCTTCGGGATAGCTTTCAGAAGTCCCGTGTTGAGGTTGGTATCCTGGTGCACCGGAAAGTGCACCTACGCCACCACAAGCCCCCGTACGAGACCAACTACTGCATCGTGACGGGTCACATGAACCCCCTCCTGGACAGGACCGAGCGGCTTTGGGGTTTTAGGGTGCCAAGGGTAACCTTCAACGTGCTGAGGCCGTTCCTCTCCTCAGCTCCCCTAAACCCTAAACCCTAAACCCCCCTAAACCCTAAACCCTAAACCCTAAACCCTAAACCCTAAACCCTAAACCCTAAACCCTAAACCCTAAACCCTAAACCCTAAACCCTAAACCCTAAACCCTAAACCCTAAACCCTAAACCCTAAACCCTAAACCCTAAACCCTACAGGCTTCGACTACGCAGGTGATCGTGATCCATGGCCTGGCTGAAACGCACACCGCACACAGGTGCCATGAATCTTCCTCCTTCAAAACTGGATCCGAAGCCCTGAACCCCTTAGCCTTAAACGCTTTGAACCCTAATCCGAAATCCTGAACCCTAAACCCTAAACCCTAAATCCGAAATCCGAAATCCTGAACCCTAAGCCCTAAACCTTCATTCCTGAGCCCCCACAACCCGAAGCCCCCCGGATACGGGATTCCTCGCAGGACCGGCTTCTTCACGGGTCTGGGAGCCGGCTGCTCAGGGCTTCGTGCTTGGAGGTTCATGGGTAGTTATAAGTAGGGGTTATAAGTACCCTTAAAAATAGGGTTATAAGATGTTTTTTGTATAGCTACCGTACTTATAGCCCTACTTATAACTGCCCATGAACCTCCAAGTAGGTCTGTTTTGGGATGGACTTGGGGTTGTGTGATCGCTCAGTACATGACTCTTTTCGTATGTGTTGTGGAGTTGTCGGGCTTTTTCCCAAAAGGATGAAGTTTTGGGGTCCTCTTCTCAGAAGAGAAGAGGAACGCACCTGGGATAGGTGGAGTGGTGCTTCGAATGGTTGTAATGACGTGCATCCGCTCGAGGGCTTGGGGGTTGTGATGGGGCATGTGCCAGCATGTACAGGCAGTGTCCGGAATCTGGTGCGTGTTTCAGGGGGCCCAACTTGTCTAATATAGGGGTCGGAAAAAATACTCATAGCATTGCCTGAAAGTCCCTTTTCAATTCTACTAGAATAGCCCCCAAAACCCTGTTCTAATTCTTGAGACCCCTATATTTCTCGGTGGGTGGCCGCAAGGGCATTCGAGGGGCTGGCCTCGAACCCTTGAAGCGCCAACATCGAAACTCTTTTTTTGCCATCTCGAGAACCCAAACCCGAGACCTCCTCGAAGCCCTCATCCCCTAAACCCTAAACCCTAAACCCTAAACCCTAAACCCTAAACCCTAAACCCTAAACCCTAAACCCTAAACCCTAAACCCTAAACCCGAAACCCTAAACCCTAAACCCTAAACCCTAAACCCTAAACCCTAAACCCCAAACCCTAAACCCTAAACCCTCAACCCGGGTGATCGGATGCACGGTTTCAGAATCGCCCCGCCGCCGAGGCGATCATCGCAAGTTGGACCGGCGCACCTTGACTGCCATAAAGCCTCGACCCCCCAAACCCCTTGAGGGTTTAGGGTTTAGGGTTGAAGTTTTTTGTGGCACAGAGGCAGAGGACCTCATCTTACAGTCCTAAAGCCCAAAAGCCCCCAAGCCTTAAAGTTCCCTAAACCCTCGGCCCTGAGCCCCCAAAAAGGCCGCGCACTTTTCAAGTTCGACAAGTCGTCCCGCGGCCTGGACTGGGCTCAGGTTCGGCCGCGCTGCGAGACGGGGGAGCGCTTCGACTACTTGCTCAAGCGCCGGTCGAAGTGAGTGCTTTCGGGGGCTTTTTTGGGGGCGACGGGAGACCCAGAGAGCCCCGTCTCCCTTAGGCCTTAGTAAAGCACATAGACCCTGAGAGGATGCAGGAATACTCCTGAACTCAGGGGCTTCCGGCTCTCTGGGGGTACTCTGAGCCCCTGAGCCTTGATCCCATGACCCCAAAAACGCATCCCCTCAGCGGAGGGCTGCGACCTCGGCTTGAGAAGGGTGCTGGTGGTCGAAGCATCACCTTGGGTGCTGCTCGAGGTTTTCGGGTCGACGCGGCGCGGCCCATTTTCCAGCCGAAGCGTGAAGCGCGGACGCTGCCCCCAGAAAAAGATGGCACGCGGAGCATCGGTGAGCTTGATGTTCTCGAAGCCCTAAGGAATCAGCCCAGTGGTGCTGTTTTGGTTGCTTTTGCTGTGGTTCTTGCTGGGTGGGCTCGGCGCTTTGAATCCTCGGCTCTGATGCTCAAGTGCTTTGAGGTTTGGCTGGGGCGGACTGAGGGTCCAGGCGACCTGAACCTTTAACCCCTCAAAGCCCCCAAATCCAACCCTAAACCCTAAACCCCAAACCCCAAACCCTAACCCCAAACCCCAAACCCCAAACCCCAAACCCCAAACCCTAAACCCTAAACCCTAAACCCTAAACCCTAAACCCTAAATTCCCACCCGGCCTGCTTAGGCCGTACCCACCCTTTTCTAGGGTGCCTGGACCCAGAAGATACCCGGCGGTGATGGACACCTTTACTGGATGGACAATGGGTGGAGCCATGAGAGAATGGTCGAATAGAAAGCCCCTAAAGCTCGCCTTGCCACTGGACCCACACAGGATCTGATTCCACCACCCTGGAGCCCCTGGGCCCCCCCCCTGGAGGCCCGCTGGACCCTGACCCGAAATCCTGAAATCTCGGGTCTGCCATGGGGGGGTACCCCTTCCCGAGCCAAAAGCCCTCGACTTTTTGTTCTGGCCCCCCCCCACCCCCCCGCCCCCCGCCCCGCCCCCCCCCTCCCCTGCCCCCCGCCCCCACCGCTCCCGCACCCGCCCCCCACCGCCGCTCCTTGTGCCTTGGGCTCTCCCTCCTGCGTTCTCCGTTTTATTGTGGGAAAGCAATGGTGGGAATTGAGGGCGACAGCCCTAAACCCTAAAAGGCAGTGGTTTGGGTGGTGGCCTGTGAAAGCTCACAGCGGGTGGGTTCTTTCAATGAAATTGTTGGATTACATTGAAAACAGATGCCTTCGCGTGACATGCCGCCTCCCCACACCCCTGGGTGTGTAGGGGCGCCATTTACACATGGTACTTACTGCCGCTGCGCGGCGAGACGCCCTAAACCCTAAACCCTCAACCCTAAACCCTAAACCCTAAACCCTAAACCCTAAACCCTAAACCCTAAACCCCCAGAACGTGCCGCCGCACTTCGGCTCCGCAGACCTCGCTGGGATGTGGGCAGCTGCGCGCTGATATCCTCCTCTCAGATTGGCTTGTGGCACAGGCGCCTTGGGCTTTTAGAGGTTTAGGGTTTTGGGCATGTGCCGCGCGGTTGCACGGGCGAGGGAAGGGGCCAGGGTTTGGGGGTGTTGTTTTTTGTTTATTTTTTGGGTTGCGGTGCAGCTTGAATTGGGGGGCTTCGGGTTTTGGGTTCAGGATGCCAGGAGTTGCTGAAACAAACTTGCCGCCCCCAAGCCCTGGAGTCTGGCAACAGAAGCCTGAACCAACCACAGTTCGTCATAAGACCCTGGCTAAAGCTCTGACAAACAGAAACAGATAGATGTCGAAGCCGAAAGACTCAGGTCCTACCATCCTCGAACCTCCAAACCCTGAACCCGAAGCCCTAAACCCCCTAAACGCCCCAAAGCCCTGAAGAGGCGCCATGGCCATGTCACTGAAGAACAGCCCGGACTTCAACCGACCGGTGACTCTGCCACTGGGCCCTGCTTTGCCAGGGTTTAGGGTTTAGGGTTTAGGGTTTAGGGTTTAGGGTTTCGGGTTTAGGGTTTAGGGTTTAGGGTTTCGGGTTTTGGATTTAGGGTGGCATTCCTAGGACCGTTGGGGGTTTAGGGGGGTGTAGAGTGTGGGTTTAGAGCGTGAATTTGGGGTCCAAAGGGCCGGGGGCTGAAACCCTAAACCCTAAACCCTAAACCCTAAACCCTAAACCCTAAACCCTAAACCCTAAACCCTAAACCCTAAACCCTAAACCCTAAACCCTAAACCCTAAACCCTGAACCCTGAACCCTGAACCCTGAACCCTGAACCCTGAACCCTGAACCCTGAACCCTACATCCTAAACCCTGAACCCTACAACCTAAACCCTGATCAATCAGCTCCTGAGCCCAGGCAGGTCGGCACCGAAGCGCCGGAGCCAAGCCCCCACAGATCGGCGCCTCGGCCCCCCCCTAATCTCCGGATTGGGCGTCTAGGCTTTAGGGTTTAGGGTTTAGGGTTTAGGCTGTGTGTTCCCAGGTCAGGTCTCCCTCGGTTTTGAGGGATTAGGAGGGCTTGGGAGGGTATAGGAGGGTTTTGGAGAGGAGGGTGTGGGAGGTAAAGGGTTTAGGAGGGTTTTTAGGGGCTTTGTAGAAGGTTTAGGTTAGATTTGAACCTGATTTGGGGGGTTGGAATGGTTTGAGGGTCGAGGCTTTAGGTTTTCTTCAGCTTTTGTTTTGGCTTTGACGGTTCAGATATCTTTTTCTTTGGGGGGGGTTTTCATGGTTTTGAAGGTTTCTTGACGTTGTTTTTGCTGGCGGGGGAACTTGAGGGCTTGTAGGGTTTATGGGGTTTTGTGTGTTGGATTATGGAGCCCTAAATCGTTGCTTCGGTGTTCCTTTAACAGGAAGGGATACCTGAGAACTCAAAAAGCAACAAACAACCAGACCCTCAATCCTGTACCCTGAACCCTAAACCGAAACCCTACTGTAAACCCTAACCCCTAAACCCTAAACCCTAAACCCTAAACCCTAAACCCTAAACCCTAAACCCTAAACCCTAAACCCTAAACCCTGTCAACCAGTTCACGCCCCCTATTTGAGGTGGTGGACATGGCAGGGGCCTCGAAGGGCTCTGAGAGCCAAGGGCCCTGGGCTTTGTCAAGGGTTTAGGGTTTAAGGTTTAGGGGTTATGGTTTAGGGGTTAGGGGTTGGGGGGGTTTGGGAGGGTTTAGTTGGGATATTCCCCCGTATACTAACAGTCCTTAATGGGGACTAAGGGTACTATAATCCCTATTCAGGGCTGTTTGTATGAGGGGGAGCATCCCAAGTCTAGGGTCTAGAGGGTTTGGGATTTAGGGTTTAGAGAGCTGGGGGTTTAAGAGGGTTTGGGCGTTGGGTTTCGAAGGTCTAGGGTGAGGGGGGGGGGAGGTGAGAAAGGATCTATCGCTCCTCCACCTTGCGTGGAGGCCCTAAGCCCTAAACACACTAGGGCCCTTCAGGGCCCTCCTACTGACACCGCCCCTGAACCCCAACCCTCAAAACCCAAAAGCCCCAATGGCCCTGAACCCTCAAGCCAACAAGTTGCCAAGAAGTATCTCCCGCCCCCCGTTTCGGGTTTAGGGTTTAGGGTTTAGGGCTCGAAACCCTAAACCCTAAACCGCAAGGAGCAGTTCTTCAAGAGGCAGGGAACTGGGGATGCTTCCATGGGTTCGAGTGGCAAGATCCAGATCCCCGAGCATTTGTCATCCCCATCCCAAACAGTCCTTGACACGAATCTCCCCGACCTTGCATATGGTCAGTTCTCTGAGTGCTGGTCTCTTTCTGGGTAGCATTTATAGGGTCCAAAACGGGCCCATCACTTAACCTCGCAGCATGTGTGCTGCTTTTCACAACTTGCGCTGAAGCAGCTCATTTGCCGTCTCCACCACTTTCACCACCTCACCTCGCAACAAAACGTCAATATGTGCAAAGGGAGTGAGGTTCCCCTTCCTCTTGGGTTCCTCAATGCTCTCGGCGTTTCAGGCACCCTTTGTTGAGCATTCATTCCTTAATCTTGAACTTAACCGCTCAAAACCCTCAAAGCCCCAAACCCCTAAATCCCTCAAAGCCCTCATCTGCAAGCCCAAGAGCCCAAAGGGCCCTAAAAACCCAAAAGCCCCGAACCAAGCCCCTTCCAAGCCCTCAGCCCGGCAGGTACTACGGGGAGCCGGCGCAGGCCCCTCACAGCAGCAAGTTCAAGCCTGACCCAAAGGCCGGAGGGGTGCTTGGGGATGCTTTGGGGCTTGGCGTGTTTGCGGGTTTCCAGGGTTCTAGGGTTGAAAGTCGAACCGAAGGCAAAGAACAACAGCTTAGCTGGTGGGAACCGCGAAAGCAGGGTAGGAAAGCCCCCAGTTTTTGTTGGGGGCGTGTTGCAGGCCTCAAGATGTGCCACCTTATATTGGCCTCTTACAGGGACCCTTGGAGCAATGGCAGTGCCGACCTACTTGGAGGTTCGTGGGAGGTTGGTACCTAGAAGTAGGGTTAGAAGTATGGTAACTCTCAGCTCTGGATCGCTCCTGGCAGGCCTGGTATCAGCATACTCTTGCCAGGCGCTCAGACTTTGCTTCGCAGCTGGTGCTGCTTGCTGCTGCTGCTGCTGCTGTGAAATCCTGAACCTCCCCCGCCCTAGATCCCTATAACCTCCTAAGCCCCAACACCGCGCATTTAATTTTGCCACAGGGGGTGGACGCGTTTCGGGCTTTCGGCACACTTCAGGTCGTCAAGGTGCCGGACAACGACTCCAAGAAGAAGGCCCTCTCAATTAACCCGGAAGCCCGAAGCTTCGAGGGCTCTAAGTAGGGCTTAGTAGGGCCTTAGGGTATTCTGAGGGTTCTGCGGTCCTTGAGCTCCGAAGCCCTCAACCGCAGCAAGTGCGGGGTTCTAGCCTCCGAGCCAGCGCCAAACTGGGGGGCAAACCAATGGTCTGGGGTTCTAGGGGGGCCCAGTGGCTTTGAGGATTTCGGGTTCGCATCCGGTCCAGAGTCAATGAGCTCATGCGTCATGCCATGTCATGTGAGGCTTTTTTGTATTTCTCATGAAGCATGGCGCATG